ACGGGTTGGATGGGTTCTCTTTGTTGTAGGTACAAGAAGCAAAGCTGCAGGACAAGAACCGAGCGATGATTATCGACACTGCTGACGATATTGTCGACCTCTGTGCTCGTGCGGTGGAGGACAACAATGCTGAAAAACGTGCTCGGGTGGCGGCTGGCGAGACCCTGACTAACGCGCAGAAGAGCAAGGCTGTCCTCGTCACCTATCGCAATGTGGGCAATATCAATGCCGAAACCGTCCTTTCGCGGCATCGAGAGCTCCAGATTCTCTTCAAGTACGTGGGAGACCTTGCAGACGATATTTACAACTGGCGGATACCTATCGATAACATTCGTCCGACACTCAATTGGTCAGGGCGCTGGGGACCGCAGGAGGATGCTATGTTACTCATTGGTGCTTACCTCTATGGTTTCGGAAACTGGGAGGCTATGGCCAAGGATCCTCGACTGGGCTTGGAAGGCAAGTTCTTCCTCGAGGAAGGAAAGAAGGGCGAGGATTCGAGCAACAAGCCTATTCCGAACGCCATACATCTTGTACGACGTGGAGACTTCCTCCTCAGTATCCTTCGTGAACATGATGAGAAGCTCCGGGCCATCGAGAGTACGTTGCAGAGGCGGAATCCCAAGGGTACTTCGACCTCACCGCCACCGGTCGTTGCGTCGACGTCGTATGCCAAGCGGAGAGCAGAGAGCGAAGCTGTTGCTTCTGTAGAAGAAGGAAGTAGTACGAGGAAACGGAAGAGAAGGCCGACTCCAACTTTCACTGATTCTTCGTCTTCAGACGAATGGTAAGCTTGTGATTGATCATTGCGTACCTGCGGTTACTCATTTATTTTCCTTCTGCAGCCCTTCTATGGACGAAGCTTCCACGAAGGAGGAACTGCGACCTGTCAAGAAGCAACTCGTAAGTGTTTTTATTGTGTCCTCGGTATGTTCAAGGAACTGACTTACGGAATCTTCCGTGTTAGAAAAACCTCAAGGCGTCCGGCAATGACATGCCTCGAGACGAGAAGGTGGCCATGCTCAAGGAGTCTTTGGCTGCTATTGGCAAGCGTATCGAGTTCGTGCTCAACCAGAAGGAAGCTGCAGGTGAAGATCGTGATCGCTGGAGGCGACATCTTTGGACGTACGTGTTTCGTCATTACCTTTTAGGGGATAGGATATTGATATTGATGACTTTTTTGTCTATCTAGTTTCGTCACTTTGTTCTGGCCAAAGAAGGTGAAAGCCGCTAAGTTGGAAGAAATTCATGCCAAGATGGTGATGAAGGAGAGCGCTCCTCGTTCCACTCCAAGCGATCCTCATGTTAACCTTCCCAAGAAACCACGGCTGAGTACTAGCGTGCCTACCATGCCCGCCATTGTCGTCTCGGGTCGCAGTAACGGCACCATACCATCCGCATCCTCTACCTCCTCTCACGCCAATGGGAGGTACCGATGATGTGAACTACCACGAACAGTCCCCTTCTTGACCCTCTCCATATCTTCGTATGCCGTACGAACACTCGTCTGCCTCTGACCCATCTTGCATATCTCAGGGCGTTGTTTTATATCTGATATTTTCCTCTTTTTTTGTTGCTGCTATCGTCGATACTGAATGGTATCTTGTGCTCTTAGGATCGAATTATTGTATCACTGCTGCTGCCTCTTGCTGTTTTTTTTGTTTCCGTCTTTTCTTTCTTCATTATCTCTCCACATATGGGTATCATCTTTCCACCCTGCCCTACGTTAACCTAGTTCTAGTCTAGTCCACCCCTCTCTAACATTGTTATCCTCCGCAATCGTCTCTTTGCCATATCTCTTCTCATTATCCCCGCATGCTCATTTCTTCCTCCTGACCCCAGTTTTCTTTTTCTATTCAGATTTTGCATTGCAATTGCCAAGTTTATTTTTTGATCACTCCATTAGTACTATGATGCTAGCATTATTTGTCGTGGTGAATTCATACAAGAACGAGATTATCATCCCAGTGCCTGTTTGTCACAGTTTGTGCGTGTTTCAACGAAACAAGATTCAACATATGTTCCACGTTGTGGGTCCATGTAAACCAGGAGGTTTGTTACCTTAATAGGCAATTGTGTTTTCCAGCTTGGACCCAGGCGGCGTACCACTCGAACGAAAAATGGTTTCCAAGAAATCCAAATAATCTTCAACTATCTATGTACAATCCAGACAATTAAATGGAGCAGCCTAATGCTACATACAAATGTTCGTCCTAACTAAGCAGAAAAAATACGACATGAGTGTCGAATGCCATGATATCATTGGAATGGTCGTGAGTCACTGTCATGCTGATCGCGTGAGGTATATAAAATGACATCAGGGCGTTCTGTCGTAAAGCAAGAAGATAATACACTTTTGTTACAAGACACAATGAGTTCGGGGCGATTACACCCGCAATCTGCATTGATGTCTACACCCCGGGATGGGTGAATAGGGTGGTATGATGGGGAGGGAGTATCGCATGGGTTAGAACAGTAAATCGTTATATAAATGTCATCATCTATAGCTAGAGAATGAAATTGTTAGTAAGGTTGACTTCACCAAGCGGAACGTTAAGAAAACCGAGTTACTTACTCTCTTCCATGAACCTGGATGGCAGGTCTATAGCCCATTGCCGAATGCCCAACTACGTTAGCAGGATGACTTGTCGTCCCACTGCGTTTTCGAGCCCGTGTAGTAGTTTTAGCTGGCGCTGAACCTACCGTTACACTAACTAATGGTGTCCCGTTAGGTGCAGATGAGGATGAGGCAATCACCCTCTGAGATGTCGGTTGGGGTTGAGATTGTCTAGTCGTAAGGGAGCTTCGACGTTGAGTAGACGGACCTGGTATTGACACAGGGGCCGGTGCTGGTGCTGGTGCTGATGTAGGGAAGGGGATGGGTTGAGGGGCTGCTGCCCGCGCAGCTATAGGTAAGAAAGCAGTGTCAGAGACGATCATTGTGAAGCAGACACTAAGTCAGATAGAATGAATAAGGATGACTGACCCTCGACAATCTTAGTATCCGCCTCTCGGTGATAGCTTTCCATCAACGCAGCATACCTCTTCACCTGCCAAGCCAGTTGATTCGCTCTCGCCTTATTCCCCATACTCAATGCCCACTTCCTCTCCTCCTTGAACCGTCGTCTCTCGCTATCTGCCAACGAAGCTCGTGCTCGTAGGATAGCTACTTCCCGTTCGGTAGGTGTCATCTGACCTTTGGGGTCGATGGAAGAAGTAACGGAGGTCATAGATATAGACGGAGCAGTGTCCACGCTGTAAGCCATCGTGGGGGTTGGAGAGATAACATCCCGAAGGGCAGGGTCGTACCCAGATGAGGTGTTACGATGATGAGTACGAGTATGGCGTGAATGGTGCTGGCGATGGTCAGGTTCTCTAGAACGTGATCGTGAACGGTCGCGAGTATGTCGATGAGATGTATGATGATGGACGGTGCTTTTACCAAATGAGACTTTGCGCACTCGTTTCGCGTCATTGGCATTGGCGGCAGGGGTGGTAGGTGCAGCTACGTTCCCGGAAGAAGAGGGTCGTTTCGTGTCCGTACGAGTGTCATCCTCGATGACTTGTGATAGGACATTCGTGATGAGGACACCAACAGCGACTCCAAGCAAAGTACAAGCACACTTGGTCGCATCGAATCCCGTCTTGAGCACATCAAAGCAATTAAAGGCTACGAGTGCAATGGCGACTACAAACACCACTTCCGGTGATGAGCTCGAGCCACTTAGAGTGTGATAGAGAAGGATGCCTTGCCAGAGGCCTTGTAAGAGATAATCTGCAGTGGATTGGGTGTGTTGTGGGTTGAGATGGTTGAGGAATATTCGGATTCCGAGGGCGAAAAGAAGGGGAGGGGCGATGGAGAGTTGCATTCAGTAGGTATAGGTCGTTGAGAGGAGGGGTCGCAGAGGCATTAGAGGAGGGTTTGGGAAACGCAGGGGAGATGGAAAGTGCAGAGAAAATGCAATGACTGCCGCTTCGACTCAAGCTCGCGTTGGCCTCATGTTCAAATCATCACGTCACTCACGTGGCCGCGCAGGCAGTCCCAGTCTACTTTTTTCGAAACTTATCCAACAATCTTTCTCTTTCTCCATGTTATTGGGACAACATAATACAAAACCTATAAACCTACTCAGCACTGTCGCTTGCATCAACTGGAGGTAAAACAATGTTCATCAGATAGGGCCGGGATAGAAACCTTCTCAGCTCCTCTGAGTCCTCAGCAATTCTTCTCCTCGTCTAAAACGAATTCTTCCTTCCATCTCGCCATCAATTCTATAAGCTCGGCTTTGACAGAGAGCTCCCACCCAGCAAACACCTTCGCTCTCGGTTTCCTGTCGTCTACCCTTGTCTATGATCGCCTTCAGTGCCCCCGCCAACTCAGTTTCTCTCCGTATCTGAGCCTCGTTAAACAACGACAATCTTGTGTTCCCGCCCGCCCCGAAAGTACTCTCTCTCGTCGCTTCGCTCCCTTCGAATTGAGATGCCCTTTCTCGTTGATCCTGATGAAATCTGACCATATGTTCACGTTCTATCTCGGAATAACGGTCAGTGTGGGCCTGTTGTTGCTCTTGGAATTGCAGCATCATCTTTGTCTCGTCTATGGTAAATATTTGTTCACGTTTCTCGGACGCTTCTGTTGCCTGCCTTTGTATCTTTTCTTCAATGTCGCTGATTTTTCTCTGGTGTCCCAGTTAGCTGAATAGCTCAAGTTACTTGTATGTAATGTGAAGTACTATGCACACAGTCCTGATGTGAACTCATATTAGAAACATCTTGAACATCATTCCAAGGGCTGGGCAGAGAGGAGGTGAGTCTACCGCATCTGAGTATGGTCCTGGGTAGCTATAGACGACAGCTGATTTAGAGTGAGGTTAAATACATTGACAACATAATCTCACAAAAACCGCCTCCGACTCTGTCCTGTAAGAAAATGGGATTGAAGTCAAGCGTATAGGTACCGTCCTTTATGGTGCTTTGCATTGTGTGATACCAAGTAACTGTCTTTGCTAGTATATCGGTTAGTACACGCGCCTGTCATATCGTCTGCTCGCGCGAAAGCTGGGTTCGACTCCCAGGCAGAGAGCTTTTTCTTCGTTTTCTCGGAATTTGTAAGAAAAATTGTGTAGAGATTGTCTCGACAATACGCTGATATGTAGTATTGCGTTGATGACGACCACTGGAAAAGACTCTGGCTTCAAGAATTCGGAGATGCCACTGTGTTTGTTCTGAAGAATCTTCAATTAATTTTCTAAATTCCGCCTCCCGTGAGGACTGAGTAGACTCGAAGATAGCATCACGCTGCCTATCGTTCGCAGAGAATATCTCGTCCCGCCGCTCTTTCTTCTTGGAGAAAGTCGAACTCGATCTGTCGAATCAGAGCATCAGAAACTTTGGATCCATCTGGTTCAAAACCCTTAGGTTGGTCCTTAATTGCTTCCTCTAGAAATGACACCGGTTCTTTGCTCTGGGTGGGTGCGGTGCTGCGCCCGAGACGTAGCGCTCGAGGCCAACGTCTGCAATTCAATTTCAATATATATTAGAAGAGGAACGATGAGTCAAACTCACGGCATCGTCGATCGAGAGAATAACAGTCAGAATGGTGGTAAGCTGGTAGTTCTTACCGTAATAGTGTAAAGGTAAGGTAGGTGTTTCATTTAGATGAAGTTCAAACCGAACCCCGTCGATAGCTGTATAGCTCTCGTCGTGATTCTCAGGAATGTCCATCAGCTCGAATGGTGACCAGCCACAGTATTTTGGATTACTTCAAGTTTGTTTCGTTCCGAGCTATTCGGAACCGTTATAACCTAAAGACACGGCTACATTTGTGAATGAGCAGTTAATAGGATGCAACATGAAGAATTCTTTCATGAGAGAGAGCCCTGATTTGAATCAAATAAATTAGATCTCGAGCCGTAATGCTATTAGAATATACGTGTCCAAACTCAGAATTCCATATGAGGTCCGTTTTCCTTCCCCGACAACTTGAAAATGTTCGTCACAGACTCGACCCATTCACTCAAGCCTGAGAGAATCTCACGAACACATTCAATCGTCCCCTTCTTGCAAGCCCATATCCACCGTTGAAGACCTTCGAGGAGGCCTTGAGGAGGACGGTCTGCTTGTGCGTTAGGTGAGTGACTTGGAGGCTAGAGAATGGGTTAGTCAAACATCTATGTGAGACTTGAAGTGAGCGCAAGCTTACTTTGACTGTATCTGTGTCGGCGACGAGTTGCTTCGCTCCTTGAATGAGACGGTTTTCCTCATTCTTGTCAGTTTCGGCCCACATTTTTCTGAAGTCATTGACGTAGTATAGACTTTCGGAAAGTCGATGGAGGGTGTTGACTAATGCGACAACTTCGGCGCGAGAGAGTAGGTTGGAGTTGTGTCGCGGGCTGGGAAGCGGCGAATTTGTAAGAGGGAGTACTTGGTGGATGAGAGTAAAATATGAGCTTACTCAAGTGCTTTCTCATCTAGTTCGAAGAGGATCTTAAGAGCAGTGCCGAGGCCAGACGTCTGGATCTTCCCCCATAACCGACATTTGTCACATCCAACACAGTCCATAATACGGGTGACATTTCGGAAATGTTGCTTGAACTCCTCCTTGAGAATCTATCGAGAAGGATGAATATTGATTCGCAATCAAATAGCGGGGGTAAGCATACCTGTGCGTTCTCGCCTCTAAATAATACAGTCTCATCGAATTTACCAACCGTTTGGGCAATGTCGATCACATCTTTCACCTTCTTCAGCGTATCGTCGTCGCCTTCATGCGTTCCTGTACCACAGTAGTCATAGGCAGAAAGGTAAGGTCCTATCCGTGCGACGGCACGGAGGAGCAGAACAACGTCGAAGTAGATGTACTGTAGACGTTCGGGGTATGCTGCTATCCGATTAATAAAACATTCTAGGTTTGGTGTCTAGGATGGGTAACCTGTGAGAAACGTTAAACAAGGAAAATAAATTTCTTACCCATTCTCCGGATGTCTGATTAAAGAAGTCGTAACATATATGTGTAGAAATACTTGCGTGCAGACCTGACCGAATGTTAAACCATTTTCGGAACTGAATTTGCTTTGTCACATACCAGAAATAATTTTGTAGTAGACTCTCTTCTCCAAACACGTCCGCGAACTGTCTGCACCGTCGGCCCTGAGTACACCAGTCATAGTGTCCGGTAGTGTAACAGGTGCAGGATTCGATGCAGTCGAGAGAGCTAGCTCTGACATCCCAAAACAATTCTCCTCGTATATTGAGGACCATACTCGATGTGCCGAGGGACCCGTATATCCTGTGAATCGTTCTGGGTTGGCAGTTAGGTCGATATAGTCACCCTCGGATAAGTCGTCTAGGAAACAAAAGTCGGTATCCCTGTAATAACACCCAGGGAGTGTGGTGCTTTCGTGATCCGCCGGTAGCTCCAATTTGCTAAGTTCTGCGGCACGCCATGCTGAAGGGATTTCGCTCTATAAAGTAGCAGCACATAAGATATGTGGAGGGAAATAATATTCCATGATACGCACCTCGTCGATCGTAGTAATGCCACACTCTCGATTCATACATAGACCGTTTTCCTGCCAAAACGGACATTCACGATACAAGTCGACCCGGAAGTATTTAAAGAATGGGGTCTGTACAAGATCATGCAGTTGGGTGTACAGTTCATCGTTATGACTTTCCACAGTCTCGAAGTCGCAAAGTGTAGTTTCTATCGGCCCTGTAGGCTGATGGAAATGATCGGTAAGCCAAACGCCCAAGAGCACATCTACTGTTAGTGACGTACAACTTGTTTACAAGAGGGCACCTTGACAGGCTGGTGTTCAAGCACATTCTGGACTTGGTCCTTCCTAACAAGATTATTGTCAAGAAAAGATTCGGGCTCCTTCGCTTCGATTGTTGCGCTTCCAAGGAGGAATGATAGCAGGACGCTATATACTTGCCGCCGGACCATCTGTGCCAAGGGGGAGATGGAGATGAGGGGACGTGTGGAAGCGAGACTGGGGTATATTAACCAGAATGCTTGTGGGGGAAGGTGTTCTCAGAGGTGTGAAAGAATTCGTTGAGCCACGTATTGGTCGCGGTCATGATTATAGCAGCCCGAGAAAGGCGCGCTAGTCTGTCTCGCTCGTTTCTTTCTATATTCGAGTTTGCTCTAGGCTCCTGCAGGGTATCCTCGTTAAGCTCTGGATAGCTCACACAAAGCGCATACTACGTGGCTTCGTATTGCAATTGTGGCAGCGACTCTGCATAGGTTTTGAGGTGAAATATGAGTTCCCGAGCGCGAAAGCGTAAGGACGTGGAGCCACCCGCTGTCGATACACCGTCCAAAACCAAACGAACTAGAAGGGATGATGGCCTTCGTCGTCTTCGCAAAAAAGGATCTTTACAGGATCTCCCCAATATGCCACTAGACATTATTTTTGAGGTACAATCTCTGTACGACTTCCCAATGATGTCATATCTGACATTCTATGTTCAAATTCGTAGGTGCTTGGATACTTACTGCCTAATGATCTGTTGAATCTTGCGCGGACAACAAAAGAGTTTAGAAATCTGCTAATGTCTCGAGAGTCGCGTCGATTCTGGAAGACCGCCCGAGGCAATATTAAGGGTCTCCCAAAATGCCCCGACTTCTGTCAGTGAGCCCGTCTACGCAAACCTATGTTTCCAGATATATTGTCATGTATGTGCACCCCACCCACCCAATACTGCATTCAGTCGGTGTTGATGATTATCAACGTCTAGCACTGTTCAACACCAAAAGCCCCTATTGTGTTATGGTCTTTGGGGTTGCGCGTGTGTAGAAGGTGTTACAACCTTGAGTATGTCTTGTCTGGACCTACTGACTTTCTGACGTCCTACTTTCTGATGCTACTTTTAGGCTGACCTCCTTGAGAAAAGAGGGTATGGATAAATATTGGGATCCGTGCAACATAGAAGAGACGATGCTAGTTGGTATAGCCTATTATTCTGCTCGATATGGACTGATTGGAGCATATCCCAGTGGGCGGAACGATGTGAAAGGTGGTACACTAGACGTCTCAAATCCCGCGAGAAAGAAGTCTCTCAGATCAAAGAGGCCAGATTATCAGCGTAATAATCTTGCAGTGTTAATCCGAGTCAAAGCCTGCTAATATTCTAACAGGATCATCGACAAATTGAAGAGTCTAGGGTGGGCTGATGAACTCATACATATGGAGATCAAGGATCCACACCCCTTGCTTAAGATCAATGCAGTGAAACAGGCACGACCACTAACAGAGAGATGTATGTACTCTTCGTATTCATTGCAAATCTTGGGGCTAATTTTCGGTTCAGCTTGGACCAATATTCAAGGCGTCGTTGTCTCTTTCATGCAAGAATGGGCCAACAAGAGGCTAGCAACAGTCCGATACGAGCGTCTCGAACACCGGATTGGTGTTTTGAAGTCCATGATGGTCTGGTATCGCCAAGACCTAGGGCTTTTGTGTCCAGAAGTCAGCGATATTGTTTTATTCCCTGACATTCGCGAAATCATGGAATCCCCACTAGCATCTGTTGATGATGTTCGTGAACCTTCAGCTCTTGCTACTTCTCTGTTCAGGAAGAAAATAGTGGAACTCGTTATAGACCAGAGACAGGGAAAGAAGAAGAGATTATGCGACCTAATCGAAAGCGCAACGGAGACACACGTTCCGGATGATATCGACGTTCTTGACCTGGCTATTTCCAAGGCCTTCGTATGCTGTCATTGCCAAGCAACCTTCCACAACATCACCGAAACCACGCGGGATCTCCTCTCTCACTGGTGTTTGTATAAGGCTAGGCAGCGGCACAAGAATGACCGGGAGACTGATTTGGACTACAACGACATGGCTACTTCGATAACCTCTCGACATCCCTGGTCCTGCGATGAACTAAAACTCCAAGTAGAGCTGTTCAAGCGTATCATCCATTGTTACGGAGAAGATTCTATGTTAGTCACTGCGGATGTTCTGGACAAGAAGGATATACGTCTCCGTTGTCAAGTACCCGCGTGCAATCGCAACCCGAAGACTGCTCGCTTGATGTTTTCGTGGAGAGCTGCTGTAAGTGAAGACCAACTTG